TAACCGTGCCGGCCCGTGCCGTAGCTTGCGCGACTAACTCTCCGCAACAAGAACTGCAGCCGAAGCCGAAGGAAGCGTGCAGATGACCGCGCTAGTTTGTCGAATGATCAGTTAGTTAAACAAGATCATCGCGCGTACTGAAGCAGTAGGGAGAGCTGCGATATCACGCGGTGGAAGTGCTATCAAAGAAGCGCCCCCGCGTCTCATGGCCTAGGTATGCATTTTTTGCCATCGATTACACCCGAAAATATCGTCTGCATAGGCCCCCAGAAGCCTATACAGAGTATATATCTAGAAAAATACAATTATGGACCAATTATCAATGCTTTGCAATTGTTAAAAGAACCGTTGGTCTTTCTCATTTGTTGGCGAGCCGCGAAACGTGGGGCCAGACAACAACTTGGCAGCCATGTTAACCGCCTGTTTAAAACCTATGGTTCAGCATCGTCAGCAGGTTTTTATAGCCTCCACCAACGTAATCAGATGGAGGCTAGTATAATACCACCTTGAACCCGGATGAGTCTTCGACCCTAGCGATCATCCGGAGGAAAATATAACGTCAATGTAGGTAGCAAGGCAAGCTAGGTGCCAACCCTAGATGTCGGCTAAAGTACGTTTGGTGTATACATGACAGCATACACGAGCGTAGCATTCTAGATTCCAGATATGTGAAGATCTAAAGTCAGCTAGCCATCAAGAAGGCTGTATATACCAAAATTAGCACGATCTTTACCCGAGTACTAACCTGACTGACTATCCGACAGGCCCTCTAGGATTAAACATATCTAGGTTGGATGCCTCTTGGAAAGCGCTTGCGGTAACGGGAATAGTTATACTGCCATAGCACAGCCAGCCTTATGCAGGGCGCCTCCTGGGATGCTACGTTAAAGAGGCTAGGTTTCGCGGCAGCAAATCGGACTTGAAGACATGCAGTTAGTTGCAGAGAAAACAAGGGTGGCTTACCCCACCGCGACATGCCCAACCCATGACATAGGTAGTATTGAGTGTTGTATTGTGTTGTCTGTGGCCCCTTAGAGAAGATACTAGGTTACATAGTTTCTTCTCGAAATAAGTAGGCAGCGAAACAAGGACCACTTACGTCAAGATCCGTCTTGCTGCGATAGTAGGCACATTAGAGACATAGATACCTGTGCTTTTGGTCTCCGATACCTGTAATCTTTCCTTTGCTATTTGCTCTGCGTCAAGCGACAGAAGGCAGAGCTAGATTGTACACTGGGGCATTCATGATTACAGCAGTTATAACGGGCCCAAGACGGGTGAGTGATTCAGATAGCTCGTTCGAGTGGTAAAATTAGTCGATCCGAGTTATCGATGCGTACACTAACGCAGGCACATAGCCCCCTGCAGAGTCGACACCTCACTACTTTCGTTACAGAGTATTACTTGCAGGTTGACTATAACATGTGTATGCAGGCTGGCGGCAATACACGTGAACGCGCAAGCTCAGTTTGTTCTAGGATGCGGTTGGGTAGCATAGAGAGGATCAGGATTTAAGCCTCGATGATTTTTCTGCAGCATTAATATTTGACCAATCGTTCACAGAACAAAATTATCTGTATCGTTGCGAATTGTAAACTGTTACGTGTTACCCGCGCTCAGCTCATTCATGGTATGTGCAAGTGTCGTCAAAACTAAGTCGGCCAATGAGAATTCAAATCTGTATGATAAAGAGCAGGACATGGGTGCTATAAATAAGCAACCTGTTATGTAGTGGCACAAAATTACCTTGAGCAGTTAACCGAGACAGCCGGGCAACGTGGAGGTGGCTCCAGCTGTTGAGCTATCCGTGTTCCTGGGGGCCATTTGGGGTTGATAATAAAGATATGGAAAGTTGGCCCGGGGGAAACTGAAGAATTACGAGAACCCATAGTATGTATGTTTACAAATGTGGGGAAGATAATAGATGAAAACGAACCTGGTAGAGGAGTTAATGAGTAGTGTACCGGGTAGAACTGATGCTGTACGAAATTTGAATGACTTCTGTGGTTCGTGGTTATCGGTATTATAAACCTTTCGAACTAGTTTCGATCGTTAGATCAGCAAGCTTCCGCGGCACTCGATATTACCCAACAAACAACTCGCGGATCGTATAACTCTTGCAGAATTGGAGTAGAATCACCCGGGCAGTTAGCCACAGGGTTACCAAAAGCGGACTCATGAAACATGGGGTCCGGTTCTCCTGGCTGAACTAAGCTTGTTAGATGGCATGGCCTTAGTAACTGTTGGATCTAAATATGTTGCAAGGCTTGTCATACTCGTCGACAAGGCTCGGCGAGACTCTGAAGGTATGCTCACGTTTCCAGAACGGCGTTCTGTTAAACGTGGGGCTGTTGTGCTGACTGGAAGTAAAACCTCCTTGATCTCATAATAATAAATGCTTGACAGCTATCTTGCCAAATACGAAAATATGTGTAGCTGAAGGAGTATAAGAAACTACCAATGAGAATGACGAATTGGTCGTATGTTCTCATGGTGGGCTGAAGGAGCTGATGTCCCCAAGCGGTGGTGCAGTGCCCCTGAATTGCATCGCCCAGGCCATGTTGGAAAACGTGAGATGCTCCGTAACCGTGCAATCGGTGAAATTGGGCGAGTAATGTTCGTACATCTCGAATACTGATGCAGTATACCGATGGCCTACGAGATGAATGATCTTTGGTTCGTCCTTTGCAAGTAGGATTTACATACTTATCTATGTACCTAAGGTACCCAACCTACCTAGAGGCCAGATATATGCACCTAATTCAATGCGAGGTTAAGAGTTCTAAATACATAACTAAAGAATTCAGGGGCACCCGGGAGTATATAATTTGTGTAAGCTAATAGCGTAATAAAATGAAGTGTGGTCGTGATCCATTATCAGCATTGATGTTGGTGCTGGCCACCTGGATAAAATGAATAAAGCTATTGGACATGTGTTGATCATCGTTGCTCAAGCATTCGTAGATGATTGTCTTCTACGGTAGGGCGTTTGATAATTGGCGAGATTGCGTCAACTTGGAAATCATGGTTCGAACTGTTAAGGAAAAGGTACCTATTTATTATCGTAAACTAGGTGCGTTGTCACGGCACGAATCTAGGAATCCAGAGTTTACCATATGGTGGTTGTAATTATCAGTGGTAGATATTTTGCGTATTAGCGTCAGGTATGGAAAGAGGATTGGTTAACCCAATTGAATTGGCTTTATTTTATTTTATTTATGTTATTTTAAAGGATGACAGTGTCAGTACCTAAGTAGTTTTAATCTGATCTGATCTGAGATCTAATGGCGGACTGGCGCGTGTATACGTACGTACAGTAGGTAGTAATACTAGGTTAAGTAGCGTGTGGTGCGGTAAGTAATAATTGATTTAGGTAATGAATGCCGTATGTGAGTAATAATATAGACGTGGTTCCTCCTGGTTCCTTCCATATGGTCCGTCGAACTAGTGGAATTGCACTTGGACCACTTTGTGCAACCTACCGGCCTACTTCCCTATAAACAAGATACTAAGGATAGGTACTTCTTACCCCTCCTGCTTGTCTAAAAATTAGTACCTCTTTAGGCATATCAAGTACAGTACTACATGGCGGATGGATGTGCCTATCCTAGCAGCCTTGGTAGGGTACATTAGGTACCTATGGACATAGGTCGCTATAGGTACCTAAGCTTCGGAGAGGGTCTCTTAAGTGGATTTACTAGCTCGGCGATATTTCTATCCAGGTCTAAATTTTACCTTAGTTACCTATCCGTAGTGTATATTTCTTTCTAATATTAACAAAGCAATTCATGCCTCAGTAGGGGACACGCTAGTTTCGAGTATGAAAATGGTAAGCTATTAGTCTTCAAAAGGAGCTTTTTGCGACTTTTGATTTATTTGAAATAGATGCGGAATAGGTACTATGCGGCATGTCCTCCTCGGTTCGTTTTGTTTGGCTACTTGCAGCTTTCATCCTCCCCGCTTGCACCTAAACTTCTTCTAGAAGTCTAGAATCGACGCGGAAGAGCAAATATCGTGTAGCAATACCTATTCGATGGCTATCAAGTAACAGGTAGTTGTTTCGTATTACTTAGCTCAGACTGCGCAGTCCTACCAACCATTAACAAACTTCTTCGAATGCTTCAGCTCAACGACCCGAAGTTCCGAATGGAAGTCATGGTTACCTAGGTAGTTATGCCATTGAATACGCGTGCAGGTAGATTCTAATTTTTTTCTAGTCTAGGATCCCCTAGGTAGCTGTTAATGCGGTGTTTACTTAGTAGCCTAGCTAGTCGAACTAGGCCAAGACATGGTAATTGAAGGATCCTGGATCCAGCAATACCCCCTAAAAAGGAACCAGGGCACGAATAATGGTCCTCTTTTTTTTTTTTAATTATCATCTTCTAGAGGAATCGTCTAACTCTCTGATATGCATAATTCGTAGATACATGTACTGTACCCATCTGGGGGGTGAGACGCGCTGTCCCCATCATATCCCATCATATCCCGAAATCATTCATCTCTTAGGGTCTTCTATTCTTACACGAGTAGAAGATTGGGAGAAAAAAAAGAAAAAAGAAAAAACCTGCAGAATGCACCTCTTCACGTCAGCGTCTGCTAACTTATAATTGAGGAGTTGCATTTTACGTTGTATTGCGTTATTTCCTTGGCAAAGTACATAACATTAGGGCTCACTTTATATGTTTAGGTAAGTACCTCTTACTATTCTTTGTACCCAGCATTTACATCTGTACATGCAAAATGTACCTAGGTAGGTACATAATACCTATTTCCCCTTCCCCGAAGCAAGCAGCACAGGGACCATGCTCCCAGGATGATCCACAGCTGGGTCTGGCTGAACCATGTAAGATATGTACATATGTACATCAGTCCTTGCTACACACGGGGGGGCCACACCTACCTTCCATTTGCAACTGCGTACATACAACCCGAGCCACCCTACAGGCTGTCATATTATACATAGGTACCTAACCTAATCTGCTAATCTACCTCCAATAAGTACCTAACCTGGACCTACAATACCAACAAAATACCTGATACCTGAGCACAGCAACCTCCATACATACATCACTTGCTCGCACATTGCGAACTTGAATATCTCACTCTCTCTTGAGATCCACTTGTCCTGCACCATACACTCGCTATGTCTTGTACCATCCGTCGTCTAACAAGTATAGAATAGCTCGTCTTTTCCTGGCTCTTTGCCGACCCCAATAACCCCTTTCAGTCTTGGCCGAAAACCACCATTGAAAGTTAATCCAAGCTACATCGACTTTCCCGTCTTGCCTTTTTTCCCACCCCCACCATCGACAGAAATAACGGTGGCGAGGAGTTAGCTACCTAGCTAAACCTCTCAATCTGCAAGGCTGACTCTCGCGACAACTAGGTCGAAAGGACCCCATGTCAGATAATCGGGAGCTAGCAGCAATACCTCGCCTAGGAACAAAAGCTAGAAACGAAAACCGTCAGGAGGCCCCTTAAACCGTGCACGAATTATGAATTAGAAGCTATGCGGTTCGTCGTTCCGTACTTTCTAGAAATCCGGCCCAGTCCCAGTTCCAGTTCCAGTTCCCCGCTGTAGAGTCTCGTGTCCCTCTTTATCAATTTGTTTCGGCTTGTCTCTAATTTCTAGTTTTATAGTCTTGCTAACTAGTGCATCCTTTTTTTCCCACTTAGACCAGATGGACGTTGCGACTGAGAGTGCGCCGCGAAACTTACCCGTTAACAAGGCTGACGAGAGCATGGGCGCACGTACGGTTCCAATTATCACTACCCCTACGCCGATGCCAACCATAAAGATGTCGGCCCCTTCGCCACCGGGTGAGCCCATGGATATCACCACGCCGACTAACTCATCGGCTCCGCAGAGTGCTCGGAAGAGTTCTGAGGGGGAAGGTAGCGATTCTAATGATCGCCAGAGCACCGCGCTATCGGGGGAGCAGAGCTCGAACTTCTCTTCAATCACAATGCCCGCGCCTGCCGCTGCGGCTGTTCATCAGCCGAAGATAGTACAAACTGCGTTTATCCATAAACTCTACAAGTGCGTACAATTTACATATTGGATCATGATCGCATAGCCACTAATCGTTTCATAGCATGCTAGAAGACCCTAACATACAACACCTCATTAGCTGGTCCAGCTCTGCTGAGAGCTTCGTTATGTCACCTTCGCATGATTTTTCCAAAGTTCTTGCGTACGTTCCGAGTTTCCTCCGACAGTCAACCGACCAACGAGACTAATTTGAGTAATAGCCAATATTTCAAGCACACGAATATATCCTCTTTCGTTCGACAACTCAATATGTACGGCTTTCATAAAGGTATATATATATATACAAGGATATAGCCCCTTGCTAGAATATTATAGACGACTAACAAAGCGAGCATTGTAGTAAGCGACGTATTCCATACTGGTTCCCCAGAGACTGCGTTGTGGGAATTCAAACATGGCAACGGCAACTTCAAAAAAGGTGACCTGGTTGGCTTGCGCGAGATCAAGCGACGGGCATCTCGTCATACACTAATTCACCGAGACCACCGGGAATACAGTCAGAAGCCAACCCCATCGCAGCCAGGCACTCCGGCCGAACCAATGCCACCAATCCATGACGGTTCGGATCCGAGGCTCGCGAACATTGAGCATTCCTTATATGAAGTCACGACCAGGCTGCAGCGCAGTGAGGAGAATGCTCATTACATGAATGTGAAGCAGCAAGCAATGTCAGACGCAATGAATCGCTTGCTGCAGTTAAACCAAGAATTATCTAGAACGATTTTGAGCCTTGTTCCGCCAGAGAATCCTGTTCATAGAGATGGTAAGTCCTATCAACAGATGATAGAGGCATTTGATGGTCTAATGCGGTTGCAGTTCTTGCGCTCCAAGGTGAGATCCAACGTCAAACCGAATTCGTTCGTTCCATAGACGAACCACATGAACCATCCTTCCCGAATAGCCGTCAGCTCTTTGCGAATCTTGAGAATCCTCCCGTATCTCCCCGACAGTTAGCTCAGGACGACCAGCGAAGAATAGGGGGCGTGTATCCTCAATCCCGAACCAATTTCTACCGACCTCCAGTATCTTCCAACCTCGCAATAAGCTCCTCCAATGCAGCGATAAACTCACGTCGATCACATGGGTCGATCAGTGGGAGCACAACCCAGTCTTCGCCTTCTCCTCTCCGGTCTCAAGCGCCGCCACCACCACCTGGTCCTCATCCGCTTGCTACCGTCGAGCCCCCACCGAGCGGTCTGTCTAGGCGGCACACCTCAGCCGATATCCGAGCTGCTGGGTGGCAAGTCAACCCGCCGCCGTATATTTCCTCTGGCCCCCCTTCGTCTTATTGGCCGTCTTCTCCCAACCGAGGCGCCCAAGATGAGCAACGCATCCGTGATCCTCCGTCTCACTACTCACTATCGCGGCCTGCTACTCCGCCGGCCCCTTTCTCAAACGGCAATATCGGGAATGGGTTAGAAAGCCTCAACAATTGGTCCTGGAATTCTGCCAACCGAGAAAACAAAAACCTTTCAATTAAAGACATGTCTGCCCCTCCAACTAGGAGGGGAAGCATGGCGCACATCCTTAATCCCACAGATACAGTAGAACGGGACGAGGAAGGCGATCCTCGAGGAGATGAAGATCGAAAGCGGAAACGGATATAATAATTGGCATTGTAGGTCCTTGAGTATCTCATATCTTGCGCCATGAATAAGCGTTGTCGCATATTATACCACATACAGCGGGACTTTGTTTTTGTATAGAGCGATTCATGCGGAATACACGAATCTCTGAGGATCTACGGCCATGTTATATGACATTGACTATGCACCTTACGAATTTCTTTTCATTTTGATAAATTTTTTGTTTTTCCTTTCACTGCATTGCTATACTCCTTTCTTGGATATCTTAAGTTTGTCGCTGAAATACCAAAAAGTGTTGGCTACATTGAAAATTGCTCGGGGCGGTTTGGTGATGGTATGGTGACGGGCGAGATATTACTCACTATATTCCATTCATGGGGGCTTTTTTTTTTCTTCGAATTTGGAGGCTGGCGGCGGATGTCTGAATCAACTTGCCCATTGGGTTTTGTACAACACGGAACACGGGCATGGTTCTTACTTCGGAAGGGGGGCTGTTGTAATCCGTTGGGAGAGGTATCAAGCTGGAAATTTCATCCAATTATGCTCGTGGAGTCATTAATCATGTACTCTTAACAGAAAAAAAAAGGTGCCTAGTCAATGTAGGAGTAAAGGCTTATTTTGCATACATCACCGGCGAGGAAACTATGACAGCTTTCTAGGTTACGAGGTAGCTTTCATTTTTCATGCCTAATGATCTATCACATTTCGAAGCCATCTTATGAAGTCAATCCAAAATTAAATGAATAGGTAGCTTATACCTATTAGGAGTTCCCAATGGCAGATCTCGTCATTTCGAGGGACAGCCACTCGGACGATGTTAATCTTATTACCCTACATGCTCCCCACCCGTTCTATCCCTTGACTTTTTCTTTTTCTTCTTCCGCTTCTTCTTCGGGTTTTCTGAAGAAAGGGGCTGATTGGAGCCGAGAGGCAGCTCAGTGGCTTCGGTGTGCTCGGCAACTAAAGTTTCCGTGCCACCACCCTCGGGGTCGTTGTCAGGGTTAACCTGCGCTTCGGGACCATCTGTACGAGCTTGAGCTTCCTTGGGTCCAGGAGCTGTTGTTGTACCTGTGGCTACCTGATGGCCCAAACGATCGCTACCCAGATCCCCCTGCGTTTCCATCTCCATATCCTCCCGCGTCCTCTTCCCGTTCCCGTTCCCGTTCCCATTCCTCCTCTTGGCCCGTCCGAGCCCGCTCCGCCCCGCCTCCTCGTCGCTGCTGCTGCTGTCTTCCTTGCGCGCCCATCTCTGCTGCTGCTGCTGGCCGCCCCCGTCCTTATCGGCGCCGCCCCTCCCTCGCTTTCCGAGCAATCGACCGCGCAGCCGTGCAGTTTCCCGATCTACTCCGCTAGCGTTGTCGTCCTTGGCGGCGGAGCTGCGAATCAGACCTATGCCCGCGTTCGGGTCCAGGCCGCGCTCCTCGGCAAACTCGGCTTCTTCGGCGGCGCGTCTGGCTGCTATCGCTGCTGCTGCTGCTGCGTCGCGGGACTGGGGGTTGGAGGAGTTGCTGCTTAGCGCGGAGAACGAGCCGGTGGATGAGGAATTGTTGTTGTTGTTGAGGTCGGAGCGCGAAGGGAGAAATGCGCGGGCGGCTTTCATGCGCGCTTCGAGCTGCGTTTGGATGCGGTTCATGGTCATGGCGAAGTCGGGCGCTGGGTTGCCGGTGAGCGTGCCCTTCGAGGCGGAAGTAGAGGTGGATTTGCTAGTTGGCGCCATGATGGTTGTGGAATGCTGATGCTGGTTGTTTCGTGCGTAATTCGAAGAAGTAGAATTTAACTGAGGTAGGTATTGATTGGCCAACTAGCTGCCGGATATGCTATCGCCATATTATAGTCCTCATGTTGTATATTTTGCTGCCCTTTACTTTGGCATCGAGTGGTTCCAGTCGCATGAATATTCAGATGCAGGAAGAAAAAGGTAGGGATCCATTGAAGATGCGATAAGATAGTAACACAGTGTTTGGTAGACAGTGCTACGCAAAACTCTGCTACAGGTAGGTACTACATGTATGTACCTTGTGCATGTGCATGGACATGGCAGAGTTACACATGTAACCTCTTACGTAATGCGACAATACCTGGTACCTATTTTAAGGTGAAGATTTGACGGGAAGATACTTGATCCAGACCCGTGGCACATGCTCGCTGAAGTCATGCAGATGGAAGCATCAGCTGCAAGTTACACACAGTAGCTTAGGTTACCGGTAGAGTGGGTCCTTTCCTAGGTACAGAATTGACCGGATTTTCCCGTTTTCTGTCGGAAAAGAGCTCTCCCTAAAGGCCGGGGCCAGTTTGTTCTTGTTTGACGATACCATCGCAACATCGGTCGAGTAAAAAAAAAGAGAAAAAGTTTTAAAAAAAGAAACTCCTTTCATCCGATATACCGAGCAGCTAGCGGTGCTTCGTTTGTGCCGAGCCATTTTTTTAATTCAATTGACGCCCAGACCCAAGCTCGTTACGATGTACGGTTTCGCTCGCAGCCGAGCGGCTACTTCTGCCCTGCGGGCATCTAAGGTAAGATGATTTGATTTGCTTAACTTGATGCGAGCTATATACGTCAAAACGACCCATATAGCTTCTACTTGATGGTATCTGTATACTAACAAACCACTCTTTCGCGATAGACCGCTTTCTCCCCCGCTACCAGATTCAACGGCATCGCTCAACAACAGCGAAGAAATCTGAGCATTCACGAATATCTCTCAGCCGACCTATTACGACAGGTACAAGAAAAATTAGCGCTCATGTCTTAACTCGGAATATATCCTAACACGTTGTTCTAGTATGGCGTTGGTGTGCCGAAAGGTTACAATGCGAAGTCTGCCGCTGAGGCTGAGAAGGTAGCGAAGGAGATCGGTGGTGAGGATATGGTTATCAAGGCCCAGGTCCTGGCTGGCGGTCGTGGAAAGGGTACCTTCGACAACGGCCTGAAGGGAGGTGTCCGTGTCATCTACTCTCCCACCGAGGCCAAGATGTTCGCCGAGCAGATGATCGGCCACAAGCTCATTACCAAGCAGACTGGTGCGGCTGGCCGCCTCTGCAACTCGGTTTATATCTGCGAGCGCAAGTTCGCCCGCCGAGAGTTCTACCTGGCCATTCTCATGGACCGTGCTTCTCAAGGCCCTGTCATCGTCTCTTCGTCCCAGGGTGGTATGGATATCGAGACCGTCGCTAAGGAGAACCCTGAAGCTATCAACACTACTTACATCGACATCAATACTGGTGTAACTGACGAGATTGCGCGGGATATTGCGACCAAGCTTGGTTTCAGCGAGCAGTGCATCGAGGATGCCAAGGACACTATCCAGAAGCTGTACAAGATCTTCCGCGAGAAGGATGCTACCCAAATCGAGATCAACCCCCTGTCCGAGACCTCTGACCACCAGGTCATGTGCATGGACGCCAAGTTTGGTTTCGACGACAACGCCGAATACCGACAAAAGGACATCTTCTCGTGGCGCGATACCACTCAGGAAGACCCCGAGGAGGTTCGCGCTGCCCAGTCCGGCCTCAACTTTATTAAGCTCGATGGTGACATTGGCTGCCTTGTCAACGGTGCCGGTCTGGCTATGGCTACCATGGATATCATCAAGCTGAACGGTGGCCAACCCGCTAACTTCCTTGACGTTGGTGGTGGTGCTACCCCTGCTGCCATTAAGGAGGCATTCGAGCTCATCACCAGCGATCCCAAGGTCACCGCCATCTTCGTCAACATCTTCGGTGGTATCGTGCGATGTGACGCCATCGCCCACGGTCTCATCAACACCGCCAAGACTCTGAACCTCAAGGTTCCCATCATCGCCCGTCTGCAAGGTACCAACATGGAGCAAGCTCACCAACTAATCAACGACTCGGGAATGAAGATCTTCTCCATCGACGACCTCCAAAGCGCGGCGGAGAAGTCGGTACAACTCTCCAAGGTTGTGAAGATGGGTATGTTGCTGTTCAACTAAACTTCCCCTCCCCCCTCCCCCCTCCCCCCCCAAACAATGTTTTGAAAACGAGAACTTATATAAATACTAACCGTTCTACCTAGCTCGGGATATTGACGTCGGCGTCGAATTCAGCTTGGGTATCTAAGGACGATATGCGTAGACACTGGTCCGATAGACTGTACTAACTTTTTCAGGGTTGGACCCCCGGGGTGCGAAAGAAATAGCAAGGGGGCCGGGGGAATGGTGTTGTGAAATAGAGCTAGGGCGGGTTCGTCACTATTTGCGTGCATTCGAGATTCTCCCTCGCGCTCTTGGTTTCAATGGAATTGCTTTTTCCCTATTTATTTTACTTAAACTTAAGCCCGTTCATTGTCTCTCTCTATTCAGTTGTGACCGCTATGGTATTTGTTCAATTTCGGAGTACCGCTATGCTAATTGGATTTGTCTAGCTAAACATCGTGTTTTGTTTTCTATCTTTTGCTATGTTACATCTGCAATGGTTCAATGATATCAAGCCAGCAATGGGAAATAACTCTCGACTCCTAAACTCCTCTGATGGGTCCAAACTCCTGGGACCTGGGGTATCCTATGCAATGCTCCTTTCTTTAGTTAACTTATCCTTTGCGCTCCCCCCTCCTTTTCCTACTTCTGTACTTCCCCGTCTTTCTCCACCGCAAGATAATACCATCCCGCTGGCTCAGCCCATCTGACCAACTAACTTTCACTGTGCCGAACAATCGCAGTCGCAATCGCACCGCAGCGGAGTAACCGACCAAACCCTGGATCCGGGCTGCTCCTGCTGCTCCAGGTACGTACTATAGTAGTCGTAGTAGTCGCTGTAGGTCGTCCCGTTCTCGAAACCCTCGAACCAGCGGCCCACGACGGCCAGCACGCTGGGCCACAGCAGCCAGAGCGCGAGCAGCAGCACGAGCAGGCCGAAGACCAGGTTGCGCACGTGCGCCAGGGTGCGCGGCCACGGGCTCTGCTGGTACGCCGTCCGCGCCAGCCAGTACTTGCGCTCGGCGGCGAACGCCGCCCGCTGGTACCCTTCTCCCGCCTCGCGCTTGGTCGCGACCGCCCAGGCGCCCCACGACCGCGCGTACGCCCGGCAGGCCTCCCAGCGCTGCGCGGCGGCGCGGACGAGGCGGCGCGCGCGCGCGACGCGCGGCGAGACGACGGGCGGGCGCGGCACGGGCAGCGGCCGGCCCGGGGTTCGGCAGAGCTTCTGGTGCCAGGCCCAGAAGGCCTCGTCCGCGGCGCGCCGGGCGACTTCCTGCGGGTGGTTCTGCAGGCCGAAGTAGATGCCGGGGGTGCGGGCTGCGGCGGCGGCGGCGACGGCGGCGGCGATGGTTTCGGCGGCGGTCATGTAGGTGGTGGTTTTTTCAATAGTAGTGGTGGTGGTAGGGGTAGGGGTGGAGGTAGAGGTGGAGGAAGGGAGGGAAGAGGTGGAGCGGGAGTACGCGCGGCGGCCGTTGTTACCGTTGATGATGTTGTTGTTGCTGCTGTTCGGGGGGACGGAGGCGGCGAAGGGGCGCTGGCGGAAGTTGTTGGACGGGGAGAGGGTGGTGCTCTGGCCGTAGGCGCGGGGGGTGGTGTAGGAGTAGTGAGACATTTTGCTTGGCTGGTTGGTTGGTTGCATGATTGGATGCTTAGATTCTTAGTTAACTGAGGAACTACCTTTTGGTTTTGGTAGCTTTCTTTTTATTGGTTTAGGTATTGTGTGGTCGTTGCGCAACTGCTATTGGTGCTGTTGCTGTTGCTGCTCGTTGAAGAACGCCTGGTTAAGTTAATCGACTTTGAGTAAAGGTCTGACTGAATCAAGACTTGATTAATTGAAAGTTGGCGGTAGGTGAAGTCCAGATTTAGAAATTTGAAGCTGAAGCTGAGCTTCCCCAGAAAAGGAATCCGCAATAAGGTGCGGGAGAGAATCGTGGTGGTTGGTTGACGATGTGGTCCTGATCTGGAAAGGCTTGTGGTTGTAGATGGGTTGGATATTTGTATGAAGTTGGTGTTTCAATTAATTAATAAGAGAAACAAGAAAGAAGTGCAGTATGTGTCAAGTTATTTTTGAAATGGTATGATTAAGGAATTTACCAAGTCAGAATTACTTTGGGATTGACGAAAGTGTGTGCGCTGTGTGAAAGTGTGGAAGTGTGGAAGATGAGAAGGCAGTAAGAAAGTTATTGTATGAAAGGCATCACATGGAAGGGCACAAACCAGGGGGGGGACAGACAGTTAAATCTCTGAAATATTCCCCTTAATCAGTACCATGAAAAAAATTGCACTTACTGATTTATCCCAGAGCTCCATTGTCGCTTGGGTACTTTGTTACATGGTGTTCATGATCCTGAAAGATCAGTTGAGCAACTACGATATTTGTCTTGATTTGCATTATCCTACTTTCCCTTATTAATTCTAAAATCATTACTGGTGTCTTACACACCAGATCTTGTACATGAGACAGCTATGGATATTTTAAAGATTTTAAACAATTAATAAATAGTATGGTAAAATCAGGAGTCAGATTTTCTTAGAAATTTCCAGCGCAGAGTGTTTCGGGAATCAGAAAGTGATTCTCATAAACTTGCTCTCAAAATACGCATATGGTAGCGCCTGCCTCCAGATTACAAGGAATTAATGGTCGTTTAATCAAATCAGATGGTTATCGATTTTTGGAAGTATTATTTGTTTGCTCTGCACTGATTCTCCATGACCAGATCTCGGACAGGACTCTCCATCAGTACCTGATCTATCTCAACTGTACCACAATCAGTTATGATTTTTACTGTAACGAAAATAAAATAAAATAAAAAGCCGGAGAAGTAGTACTGTTTAGTAATAAATAATAAATAATAAATTCGTATCAATTTCTACGCTGTCTACAGTAATCGGTAGCATCTCCAGCATTATTAGACAGCAAGATCGAGCTGTCCCTGGATCACCCGACTCTAAAATATCTCGATCATTAGAATTTACGTCCCAAATATATGACAAGTAAAATGTGCCTAATACCACCAAAAACATAATATACATAATACTGATTTATTTCTTCAACCTCTTTTCTCCGTACCGAATCATAAATGTTAGTAATCATGATTATGAAGGTTATGAAGTTCTATAAATCACGTGCACTTTAGCACTGCTGTGTAAGACGTGCAAAAATCAGGTTTCCGAATTAAGTCCGCAAAGTCGCCGACCCGTAACCAAGGCTAGGGCTCTTTCTCTCTCTCTCTCTCTCTCTCTTTTTTTTTTTTTTTTTTTTTTTTTTTTTTTTTTTTTTTTTACCATAGTGAGTCCAAGTAAAATTTGTGTTTTTATTTTTATACAAGGCCACAA